GTTTATAATAATGTAATGCTATGTATTATATAGGTAAGGTATATATTTTGCAGAATTAACAGTCCACGACATAATCCAGCCAAGTCTGAGTCGTACCTCGAGGCAATTTTTAAAAAAAATGCTTGTAAAATTTCAGTCAAAACATATATTTTTACCTGAATTACATTTTAGAAAGCACACGTCAAAAATTCCACTAGGCCATTTATAAAACAGTATATAAAAGTTAAATTAACATTCAGGCGGTGAGCTGAAATCGTCTCAGTCTGTTTATTGAAACTGTCTCGAATTCATTAATTAAGTCCACCAGTTTCTCTCGACGCTAAACTAGTCGAGATAATTTCTTTATCAACTGCAACAGCACCAGTATACAAAATGTCGCTATATTTTCAACAAACAATTTCCTTTTAATTGATGATTGTTTACGAATTCCAATACAGTTTAACTTTCGCTGATTAGACGTGTGTTTTGGGTCGGTAGGCGTACGCTGAAATGTGGTACTCCGCGGTGATCTCCATCTTTCGAGGTAACACTGTAACACAATTTTATGCAAAGCAGTTTAGTAGTTAAACCGTGAAATGATACCTACTAAAAGATAAACACTTTCGCTTAGCTATAGAGGTGCTTTAACTAGTGATGGATCTAGACTTTGGGATTAGTAACGGTCGTCAAGTGACTGAAAGATGCTCGTTGTCTTTGGTCTTCAAGTTTAAATTTCGAAAATACTCTTTCACTGAAAAAACTCAGGCAGTATAAAAAGACCGCAAAAATCTATACCAGAATAGAATCATGAGAGTCATGGCCCCATAGACGTGTTTGCTTTTAAGAACGTCTCTCTGGATGCGTCCCTCGCCATTTTTGTTTGTTTTCACAAAGCGTAGTCTTGTAATTTTTATCTTAAATAATAACAACACAATTCTTTAGATAGGGTTGCAAAAAAAATTTACACAATATGGTGATTTTACACATAAGATTGTATACGATACGATTTTTTTATTTTGTGAATATTTATTGCAAGTTAATTTATTTTTTGTTGTGTACCTTTGAAAGTTACTATTTACATAAATTTGTTTTTATCCAAGAACTTTTCCTATTCTGCCAAAGGGGAATTTACAAATATATACTTGGTACATATCACGCATCACTTAATTCTTATCGGTGCACCAATTTACATTATTTTCTATCCAATATCATCTTTTTCTCTTGTCTCTCAATGTCAGCCCCTTCCTTTGTTACATCAATTTCATCTGGACCTTCTCTTTTCCTCTTATTGTTTTGTATAAATAATAATTAACGAATCATACTTTTGCTTCTAGTGTGAATACTTTCTAAAATGTGTCTTTCCTTTAAAACTGCACAATTGTTTTAATTATTTACTGAACGGTAATAGCTACTAAATTATTTTCATTTAAAATTTCATAATATTGCACTAGATTTGACACAGATAGATTTGGTCGAAACGTCAGACAATGCAAAGCTATGTTATACCTTTTAATCGTGTTATTTACCAAAGTAATTATTAATATCTTTTGGTTTTGTTTTGTGTTTATACTCCTGGGCTATGACTGTGACTACTTCTCTTTTTTAAAGAAGACATTGCTACTTTTCGGTTACTATTAGAAGAAAAGAGTCCTTCACTGTCCGTATTTTATCATAAAGCTCTTAATTTATTAACAAGTTTATACTAAAATATTAAGCAAATGTCAAGGTACGATTCAAGACATTTCATAATTAAAAGAATATGTTATGTATACTTAAATAATATATAACATAATTAAGGCAAGACTCGACAGATCATAACAACAAAAATATCTAAAAAAAAACTGATGAAAAAAAAAAAATAGAATAATTGAATAATCCACTGCTGGATATAGGCCTCTCCTTAGAAAGGAGGTTTAAATACAAAATACATAAAGATATTTAATCAATTAAATTTAGTAGGCCAAAACCTCCTTTCTAGGGAGAGGCCTATGTCCAGCAGTGGACTGCTAAAGGCTGTTGAAAAAGAAGAAGAATTAAATTTACTTGAAATTTCCTAAAAATATTTTTTATGGTAGGTATAGGGTAAATTTTCAGGCTGACTTAACTATAATTAATTATAATGACCTAAACCTATCTGTATTCATACGTCCGTGTGGTGATGGATTAAGAATACGAAGTGCCAAAACCCTTATACAGCCCGTGGGTGTCGTAAGAGCCGACTAAGGGACCAAACTACGCAGGATGCAGCATTGCAAAGAGAAGGAAAACTTGAAACAAACTTTATGCCAACCCGCCAGGTTGGAGGGGTATTGTAGGCCAAAACCTTTCTAAGGAGAAGCCTATTTCCAGCAGTGGACTATTAAATGCTGTTGATAAAACATATCTGTAACATATATCTGGCTTACTGTAAATATCAATGAAAATCTTATGAACCGACTTCAAACAACAATAACAAATAGCACTAAAAACCTATCAGCAATCGCGGTTGATTTGCTATAATTTTTTGAAGAGTTTCGTTGTCTGTCTCCGAAACTCATCATCAGATCTATATATATAATTTGTATAATAAGGGGCCTTCTAAACCCCTTTCGAACAAAAAAAAGAATTTTGAAAATCCGTCTATAAATGACGGAGTTATGCCCGATCATACATAAAAAAAATTTAAACATCAGAATTGATAACCTCCTCCTTTTGAAGTCGGTTAAAAACAAATTTAGTGTACCTACAAAAAAGATTTTATGTTGAGACTTGATTTTAAGGTAGGTATTAAGGCGTGCAACACCCATGACCCATGTGAAGAATATTATTAACGTAGGTTATGTACACATGGCAATTGAAATACCAGGTCAGTTTTACATGTGTGCGTTATTCCGGTAAATATATTATTATAAGTTTAAACGTGTGTGTATTGTAATTCTTCGCAAGTATTATTAGTAGAGTTGGTGGCGCACAAGAAACAATGGGTGTGTTTATTTGCACACTATTATGTAGAAAAACAAACGATTCAACTTAGAATAACAATTTCACCTTGTATAGGCTTCCTGAGTATTTATGGATAAATAATGAAAGCATTCTGATATGAATGAAATATTTTCCATAAATACCTCTTGATGTTTCTACTGAGTGAAAGCAAAATGTTTACAAATACATTATGAATGCAATAAAAGGATGTTTACGTCTATGGTTTTTTTTAAAATAACTTCTACACTGAGGTATGTCCTTTGAATTGCAAGGTATTTGACAAAGATGAAAAAAATAAGCGCAATGTACATCCATGCTCATATGTTTTAGTATATCACATAAAGTATGTTGTGTTAGTTGTCACAGATTATGTAAGATTACACACGGTACGTGGGAATCTAACACAAAAACACGAAACATTAGCTGAAGAAGACTTTTTTTAGTTCAAAATTCCATATTTATGTGTGCACCTTTTACTAATTTCTACATCACTTTAAGGTAGACCTAAGTAAACCATTGTACATCTTTTATAAAAGGTTAGTATATAAACTAAAAACCGAATAAGAATTAGCATCAAAATATACTTCATTGTTATTGGTTGTGGGCTTCGATTTCCGCATTTAGACTCGAGAGTGGTCCTTTATGCATTATATACTTCAATTGTTTTAAAAATGATTGTTTGAATAAATAAAGCCACATACCTAAAAGAATACGTTAGTAACACTTAGCCAAGACAAGTTGAACTACCGATCTTCTAAAATACTAATCTTGGATCGAGCAATGGAAGTTCTTATATTTATTAATACATATATAACTCCGTGTAATATATAACTCCATATAAGTCCGTGTGGTGACGGATTAAGAATACGGAATGTCGCAACCCCTAACCATCCCGTGGGTGTCGTAAGAGCCGACTAAGGGAGCAAACTACGCACGACAACCACACTGCAAAGAGAAGGAAAATTTGAAACAAACCCTATAACAACCCGTCTGGCCAGCGCGGTATAGTAGGCCAAAACCTCCGTTCTAAGGAGAGGCCTATGTCCATCAGTGGACTGTTATAGGCTGTTGATGATGATGATGACACATATAACTTCCCAGCATCAACCGTTCAGTCACGGCCTGATAGGCATGCTATAAGTGAAGTTGGTATAAAGCTAGAAATATTCAAATTATTCGATAGTCATAACATCAGTTTCTTCAAAAGATCACAAATTATTTGGCAATCCTACTCCTGCTACTACACTACCCACTGTACTCAAGTTTTAACATTGACATGAATCATGCTTGAGAATACATGCACACTGAAATAATAATATGATCTATAAAAAATATTTTGAAAATTTGCTTTGTCTTCTTACCGATTGCAGAGCAAAAATATAATTAAACGTTATTTTGAGTGCTTGTAGGCCTAATTGTTTCATGTCGTCAAGTTGTATCCTAATGGCCTACAAAGTGTACGGATAAATAAATTGTTATCCAATAAACTGAGGCAGCTAAATCTGAGCCTAATAAACTGTAATAATCGTGTAATAAGGTCAGCCTTATACACGAATATTACAGTTTACTAATAAACTGTCTGCTAATAAACTAATAAACTGCATAAGCTCAGATTTAGCTGCCTCAGGTCATTGCTTGCTTCTATTGCATTAAAAGGAACTGGTATATAAATATAATATTTGATAATGGAAAATTATTTATTTAACTAGCAGCAAAAATCTGCGTCATCAAGAAAAGCATTATTTATTTTGATCAATAAATAATAAAGCATTAGTTACACTATAATTTTATAAATTTATTCAAAAACAGCTGGAGAGTTGAGACGAAAGTAGATATTCATATGTGTTACGTTGAACGCTGGTGGCACTGATCTCTTGAAAACAGGAAATATGTAACAGCATTACATTATGCCTTAATTCTAATAAATATGTAGTTAACATACTAAATTATAAAGGACAAAGATAACAATTTGACATCCATTAAAATTAATTTATAACGCTTAATGCAGCGTGCAATCGAAATCGAGGCTATCAGTTACAAAATCGCATTAGATTATACTAATGTATGCGAAATTAAAACGGCATCCAAATATCATCGATATATCAAAGATTTACGGTGTTGACTGTACATGCAGACGCAAACGCATCACTCACTCGCGGGGTGCGTGCGCGCCGAAGCGCGGACTTTCTCTCCCCCCTAATATCCGCCATGTTGCAGCGGGGCGGCGCGGCTCAGCGACGTCCGCAGACGACGAGCGACCACGCGGCCTCAACCTCGTGAACAAGCAGGCGGTGCTTCCGTTCGTACCACCTGCGTTCCCGAGCAACGCGCCCGATCGTCTTATCAAACCCTCGGAATATTTGAAAACAATCACGGCGCCGTGTAAGCGAGACGACAGCGCGGCGGAGGCGCGACCTCCGCCGCCGCCGCCCGTGCCGGCAATCAATGTACCACCGCCGCCTCCACAACCGCCTATCAACCTCAGCCATCAACCTCTGGCAGCGATCAGTAGCGCTGAACTCTCAGCTGTGAGGCTAAGGACTCCTGCCACAAAGACCTTGTCAGCACCACCACCGGCTCGCTCGGTTAGCTTACAATGCATACCCAGCGCTGCAGAGTTTTACAAAAATGTCAAGACAGATCTCATAGAAGAACTCAAGATGTCAAAGGATATTACAGGAATAAAGAAAATGAAAGTGGAACGTGCGCGAAGAGAAAGTCTTCAGGATAAGGAGACATTCACGGAGTTCACAAAGAGATTCACCGCCGAGAACTTCGTTGATCAGGTCAGTGAACTTTCTTTTGTTTATAAAAAAATATATCACTCTAACATAAAATTATAATTCTTATATTTCTAAAATGATTGGTTAAATTTCTTTCGTAATTCAACGTTTTATTCATTTATTGCAGCTACTCTTTATTTATACATATAAACACTTTACATAACATTTTACAAAGCGGACTCATCATAACTTCACAAAGTTTTATTCCATCCCGACATTGCACACGAACAACGTTGTAAAGTTATTTTTCATTAAAATAGTTTCGTAAAACCATTGTAAGAAATGGAACTGAAGTTATAATGTTGTTCGCAGCAGATTTCGATACACATTGCATTCTTTATCATATCCTACACAAATCGACCATCGTAAACTCGGAAACTTACTCGTATAAGAAAATTCATACAGTTACGATGCACACAGAACGCATTTTCTTAGAATGGGTTGCATCCACAGTAACCCAGTGAGCTACTTGCTACTCCCCCTACTAACTATCTCTGTAAGTGCTCTAATGACTAACAGCCGTGAAAAGAGACGATTCGCGTTTTTGATGAAACTTGGTACAGTCAGTAAAAAAAATTCTGTTAAGCAAAAATATAATTAGACGGAATTTTAATTTGAATAACGCTACAGATGTTTCCGAGAGTTAGAACGTGAAATGTTTTAGATCTTTAGATAGTATATTGCACATGTTTGTGTGTGTGATATTCTAGGAATTCTAAGATTATGATATGAATATAAGTTTTGAGAAAGTTAAGTTTAAAAGTAATATGACAGAAAACACACGATTATGAAAAAATACGACATTGCAGAGGACATAGGGATATAAATAGAAATAAATTATTCCGCTCGCAATTTTCAATTTTGTTATTTTGACCTCATTATTCTTAGTAACAGATTTATTTAATTAAATTTTGAAAATGTAATATAATAGTTTCATACTTTGAATTTTGCTATAATTACTTTTTTTATTATTCCCAATGGACTCTTTGTTTGCTTTTAGCATAGATTGATATATATATAGAACATATTAGTAAAAGTTCATTGTGTGACGAGAGCTAGGTTTTCGTTGACGAAAAATTGTATGACTTCCAAGAGGCCATATATAATTATATATATTAAATCATGCCATATTGCTTACTTTTTAGTTTGTTTGTTTAATTTTGACTATAAGTATATTTTGGGGTAAATTTTAATATTATTTTATAAGTTTTTGTTTAACCACTAGCTGTAGTGACATCGTTCACGAATTTGAAAAGCGGTGCCTTAATGGGTTTCAGAGAGGAAACTTAATAGTCATTCTTAATTATAAGGTTTTAGATAAATAACACTCTTATGTTTTTTGCACGATAAGAACACAAACTTAATACATGTATTGTGCTACACACAAATCATAATGCATGCATTAAGATATTGAAAACTCTTAGAAAGTAGTTCTAAGATTATTCAATAGATGGCGACAGAAATTTGTATCACCGGAAGGTAATGCAGCCTTAACACTGTATACATACATTGTGTTATTATTGCTTAGAAATTGAATTTAATGTAGTACTTACATAAGAATGACGTGCCTTTTGTACAAATATATTGTTTCTATACAGGCTTACCAACATTAAAGCTTTTATAGCCACACTTAATACGCCAATAAATACCTTACAGTTTTCAGAAGCTATAAAAATGTCGGACGTCAAACTTGTGTTAGGATTTTGACGTTCAACTTTTTTTTAAATGGCTCAAGTAGCATATCGCCACTTACATGTGAAGTGTGACTTTGTTTCTTTGTATAATAATCTGTGGCGTCAATGTTTGGCGTAAAACAGATAAACGAATTTCAATTGGTTTTTATTAGAAAGCTGCTTAACTGAGATGATTCTTGAGCTGATTTTTATTTGTTTTTAAAAAGATAATATAAATTATAAATACACAGCGTTGCTTGCTTAACAGGGGCCCGCTTTGAAAGCGTTTATGAAAAGATGTAAGTGAAGTAGGTATAGATATTTTGGCTACCCCTTTGTAAAGATGGCTTTATAATGGTGATGGTGTATACTAGCTGACTATCTCATCTCATCTCTCGTCTCATCATCATCAGAAGCTTCTAATAGTCCACTGCAGGACATAGGCCTCTCCTTAGAAAGGCGGTTTTGGCCTACTATCCTCGTCTGCTTCTCTCCAAAAGATTTTTTTCCCGAATCTACTCGGCCTCTGTTATTATATAGCATATATCATTAAAAGGCCTATCTAACACTAAAATATTTTTTCAATTCGAACCAGTAGTTCCTGAGATTATCCCGAATATATAAACTCACACTTTACCTCTTTATAGTATTGGCATAGATAAGGTCTTTTGATTAAATATTATATGTCCAGCCTGTCCATGTGCTGTCCAGGATTAAGAATACGAAGTGTCACCACCTCTATTCACCCCGTGGGTGTCATAAGACCCGAATAAGCGCACACTACGCAGGATAATAGCACTGCAAAGAGAAGGAAAACTTGACACAAACCCTATACCAAGCCGTCTGGCCAGCGTGGTATAGTAGGCCAAAACCTCCTTTCTAAAGAGAGGCCTTTGGAGTGAGTGGACTATTACAGGCTGCTGACGATGATGACAGAAAAATAATAATGAATTCTTGTGTTGATTTCGAATTAATTAAGTAGATAAAGATTAGTTATATTAAAGTGGAACAGCATTTGCAAATACGCAATCTATCTCTCGGATCTAAATCTATTGACATGCGGAAAAACATAAATCATTTAGATATGAATATAATACGGCTTCATTTATGTCAGTGTGGATTCGGAAATCCTTTTTTGATAAAAAGTTGACTATATTCTATATTTAAAACTATAATCTATCCAAATTTCATCCAGATCTTTTCAGTTTGCTTTTCTGATCAGTGACAATGCATCAAATCTTTGCATTTATAAAAGAACAGAACAAAGTTAATTTAACTTTCACTCTATACCGCATATATATATATATATTCATTTCATCTACATTTTTTTGTTTCAAAGTAATTTTTAGATTACTAATTACTCAATATAAACGCAACTCAAATTGCAAAAACAGTTATAATAAGAACCGGATTTTTTGCATTCCAGAATAAAATCATATCTTCAGTGAAATACCGCAATTATTAAAGCACGCGAGTACAAAAAGTTTACTTTTTAAAGAAGCTTAGATAAATTACAACTACGCAACAGCGAGCAAACTGGCTCAAAAGATAGTTTAATCAAGATTGCATATTTAAACAAGATTTGGGTTTAAGTAACTGTCTTCAGCTATTAGAAATAGAGTATCTAGTTTCTTTTTTACAACTCATGATATTGAGGACAATGTTTTGATGTAATTGTCATAATGCGTATTCAATATTGGATCTGGGTGCCAATCAAACCACGACCTATGACTTAGCGGTCAGAATCCACTAGACCAACAGTCCCGATCACAGGCCAACAAAATTTGACAAAGTTTCTTACCCAGAAACCAGACTATACTTCCCGGAAATCCTCCTTAAAATTAATCAAATACTGCCGACCCCGAGTTCAGCTAGGCAAATCTTTAACTGAACTTTAACGCCTTTAAACTAAGCAAACTCAACGTCATTTGAAAGCTAAATAGTTGAACTTTAAGATACCCTGTGTACTTAGACATAGGCATAGGCACTTTACATAACCTCAAAGATGGGCAAAAAATTTTGCACTTTTAGATTAGTATATCTCAAAAACTTGACGTGTTAGAGCAATTCTACGACCGAATTTGGATTCAGCGCACCAAAATCCTGTTAAAAAGCATACTCTTGTTTCTGGGGAAAAAAATTGTTGGCCTGATAATCAAATAAGTGTCATTGAACTGTTCAAACACAAAACATTATCTGAGACGTTGAAAAAAGCCAAGTAATGTCCAACCGTGAAATTATCTGACATTAATTTTTAATGATGCAATTCGTTGCATTGACATCACATTAATATGAAATTTTGAAAAATATGTTACGAAATTAATTAGTAAATCTTGACATTTTACATAATAACCTTGTGGTTGATTTGAAAATAAGGCTTTATTTCAATGTAACAAAATAGCAACGAATATAATTCTTATGAAAGTAAAATAAGCTTTGGTAAGTTGTATCCATATTTATTAATGTTTTTACCAGCGGTTGCGCTCGTGTTTAATGTCAATTTTGTCAATTAAAATTTTCCTTCATTAAAATGCGTTTAGCCGTTCTGGCATGATTGAGAAGCAAACATCCATACATACATCCTCACCAATTTTCAGATTTGTAATATAAATGGGATATACTGTATTACTTATAGGTGTCGGGGATGTTTAACTTGTTCGTGACCTAACTGGGGCCCTGTATCAGGTGAAGCCAACTACCGCGTCTGCGTTAAGCGTCTGATACAAACGAATAATACGAATGTAAATTAAAAAGTATTATTTACCTTCATTAAAAAATCAAATAATTATACTAATTTGTTTTTTATTTAAATATATTTTTAAGTTGAAAAGTATACAAATTAAAAGATAAAAATATTATTATTATTAATTCAAAAATAAATTTTATTAAGATTAACGTTGACTTATTCAAACATAATTCCGTATACCTTATTTGAAACAAACAAGTATTGGCAATGCCATCGCAGCTTTTTGCTTAATAAAGAGGACACCATTAAATTTAAAAAAATATTTTTTAAGAAGATCACACCGCACTAGGAATAAATCCTATGTTGCGGGGGACTTTACAAACATACCTATATGAAACGGACACAAAGGATACCCAGACTCAGAACAACAATTTTAGACGGAAGTTTAGACGGAAGCGGCGACGTGACCGCTTAAACCACTACGCCATCCGCTCTACGCAGTCTTTTAACTTTATTTACTTATGACAAAACATAAATTGCAAAAATTATATAAATATATCTGTTTTGTTCCGGCTAATCTTCGGAAAATCAGTCTACTAGACCGATTTTAACGGGAGTTTTACTGGCAGATAACCATTTTTATA